CTACTTCTCTCTCAGAAATCAACTTTTTTCACGAGATGTTCGCTCTCGTATAAACCGGTTTTTCTCTCGCATTGACTATTTCCAACGACGAATATCTGCAATTCGTAAAAAGTTTTTTTTCTTACTCTTCTCGCACGCATTTCAAAACACTTTACTCTTCTCCCTCTCTCAACAATACAATTTGCAGGCATCAAAGTTTTCGAGTGATGACGTATTATGAAAGTGTAAGACTCGTTGCACCTGCGAAAAAAAAGAAGAAGACGTTTGCCTTTCCAATAAATTTTAACGATCGATGGGAGATGTAAACATGCTTGGTACGAAGTAAAAGCGACAAGCGAGGATTTTTCAACTTGTAAGCAATAGCTGTTTAACCTTATTTGCGCCACGCAGATCGGACAGAAAAGCAGCTGGATTACCTATATAAAAAATGAACGTGAGATAATACCTCTAAGAATATATGAAAAGTGGTAAAATCCGACATTGAAATCCTATGAGGATATAATGAATACTCAATGTTAAATTATACCGGAGGTGAAAGGATCTCAGAGAGGAAATGGACCAATCGCTCTTCGAGCTAAAACGTTTGTGCTCAACGACGTATAGTCCCGTCCTTCTTTTCTGCCTTGCCGAAATTTGAAATTCATTTCTCACTGCGGCTCAAGATCGTGCATCAGTGTAACCTCGTTTCCTTTAGTTTTTCATAAATTACCCTCGAAAGTAGCAAGTCGTATACATTTCACCTTATCTGAAATTATAAATCTATACCCAAAAAAAGGATTGATCAACTCGAGTTCTGACGTAAACGAGCGGACAGTCGCAATAAAAAAATCTTTGCACAGATATACATATATACTTGGTTTATTAACAAGCCTTGGCAAAAACTCGAAGGACAAGTTACGCAAGTATAGTCAAACGCGCGAAAGCTGCCGAACCTAATGATTTGTGGTGAGGACGCTGGAGAGGAACGAGCAACGAGCAAAGGAGAACGCCGTGTTGTGGGTAGAAATTATCTGCGCGCGAAGATCTATACAAGGAGAGGGCGCGGAGAGGCTGCTCCGGTAGAGAGCCATGTGATTATGTGATGATCTAACGGAAAAAAAGAAACGGCACAACTTAGCCGAGAGCAACGCCCGCCGGAATCAGGGTCAGGCGCTTTTGTCTCGACGAAAAAAAGAATATTTGGGCTCTTAGAGGTGCCACTTCTTCAGTGGGTCATGTGTGTGTGCGAATTAGCGAATTATATGTCTGCCGCGAACATTATAGTTTCGTAATATCCTCGATGATTCTCATTCGCTGCCGACCCATCGTTGTCTCTGAGCAGCTAACCGCCTCATTTGGAAAATGAGAACTTATCGAATATAATGACTGAGAAAGAGTAATAATGAAACTCAAACGTCAAGAAACTGGTCAAGTTCAACGAGTAATATGCTTAACATTCTTCATTCGACCAAAGGCCTATTACGCGTAAAGACAGAAAAATTAATCTGCGCAAATGTGAACGTAAATCGGCAGAGCAGCACATCAATTGCAGCAACCGAGCACGTAAAGTATAAGCGATTAGGCGCCAGGGTCAGTGACAGAAGCGACTAGACTGGGCGCGAAAATAAACGTAACTCATGCCAACGTAACTCCGCGCGTCTAGCTAGACACTAAATCTAATCAATTCTAATGTATTCGCGGAGGAGAGCAGATCGAGCACGCAACATCGTCTGGCGCGTGTCTGGTCGTCGGCTCATTTCACCTTCGCCAGGCATAACACAAGCGTTGAGAGAGAAAGAAAATAGCCTCTCCTGTCTAACCTTCGTCTAATCGCGATCTACGACTGTCGGCCGACGAGAGCGTTATTTTCTTTTCTGTCTTCGCGCCAAAGGATTTACGCTCGAACGTTTTCGACGGCGCGGCAGCGGCACTGGCGGCAGGTGTGATGGATTTCCGAAATCCGATCCATTGCACATTACCCGCGCATACCTTGTGAATTGTCGGATCTCAAGTTACTCTCGTGAATGTGTAAAGTAAAGCCACGTTGCCAATTAACCAACTTATAGTTTCAATTATTCATGAAATCTTTGCTCGGCACGACTCGCGGTTATAATTTATCCATGATATAACAAGTCGCCTGAAGTCCTCGTAGCGACATTTTGAATCTTTCATAAAAGAGTTGGGCGAGTCGCTTCGCCCTGTCTCGTCCAGATTCGTCGGCCAAACAAATAAATTGCCAAGTGAATAAACTATCTAACAAACTGGTCGCGCTAGTCGCGAAATAATTGGTGGAGACAAAGCGCCAATCGAAACTTCGGCTAACGAGCAGCTCAGTTAACGGTATATATGTATAGGAGCATAGAAGAATGGTCCCGTCACATTAATTTCTCATCCGTCGCCCGCCGCCAACTTCCAACTCTCGCGCTTCGCTGAAGCTTTGTGAGAACAGTAGCAACAGTCGTAGAAGCAATTAGAGTTTACTCCGTGAAATTTCGATTGCAGCGATTATTATCATTATTACTAGTCGTTGACGGAAATAAAAATCCCAAGGCATGCGCGTGTATTGACGTCCTGTGTGCCTCGATATGTGAAACGAATAACTCATACGAAGCTGCACGTTAGCTAACATAGCATGCGTGTCTACACGATGGTCGATGACCTCTTGCACGAGCGCGTTAGTAGGACACACATACACACACCATGACCACACATACAGCCACTTGAGAATCACCTCATTATGTGCGCGGGGCTTAGACTCGTTTGTGTGTGTGTGTGTGACTTAGAGACGTCTAGAGACCATGCGTTCTCTTCGCATTGCTATAAAAATATCCAGCGCCAACAATACGGCTAACGGATCCCCACCTTAGTTTTTTTTAAGCTTTTTAGGACGACTGAGCTATGAAATTTTAGGCATTTCGTTAAGATCTCGAATTTTATGTCTCCGGGCTAGCGAATGTACAAAAGTGTTAAAAGTGTTAATGACTGTTAAAGATAGTAAAATTTATTTGAAAAGTAGAACTTTTATTACTACCTGCTTGATACTGATTCATTTGCAATAAACATTTTTTATTGCGCTGTTGCTTTATTCGTAAACGTGGAGAATCTCTTTCACGCAAGTAGTCGCAACAAGAGCATAAAAAGGGAAGGCTTTTCTTTTTATCGAGACAGCTATTCTAAAAGGTCGAGACTTAAGGAATAATAGAAGCAAAGTAATCGTGACACCGTAAAAAGAAGAGCGCGTCTGCAACGCATTACTCTCTCAAGCCTGACGCCTGTAAAAGCACAGCGTGAGAGAGAGAGAGAGAGAGAGAGAGAGAGAGAGAAAGAGAGAGTCGTCGGAAAATTGAAAACTAATGGAGCGTCACGCTTCGTCGCGACCTTATCGAAATTCCGCACTTGTCAAGGAAAGAAAAGCGAAGGCACTTCGCGGCATCGCGCCGCGTGCTTGTTAATTTGTAATTCCTCCGACGCTTTGCGAGCACCATGTAAATCTCTTTCTTTTTCGCGAAATCGTTGCGCCTTTTTCTATTTTCCTTCCCCGGAAATTAATAAATGGCAAACGTTAACAATTTCAATGTGCGAGGAATAAAATAAAAGTGTGCTGTTGCTACCGTTTCTTTCTTTCTTCTTATTTTCTTTTTATTCAGCGAGTTTGCAGCTCGGGCAATTCGGAACGGGTGATTATGACTGTCTCTGCGCTACAATGAGAAACGGAAATAATGTAAAGCTCGAGGTATTGTGGAATCTCTGACGCGACAAAAACTTTCTCCTTTCCGTATACATAATTAAGATTATGATGGTCCGTACTAAAAAGTAAAGTTGTCGCTTGATTATCACTCTTGTCCTGCAGTCCTCGAAAATATCTGTTCTTTCATAATTATTTATTACACAGAAATCACAAAACTTACACAAGGCAAAGAGAAAAGAAGAGTTTTTTTATGACGACTAGCGCTATATATTTCCGTTGCCGTAGAATTCCTGTAAAAGCGGTACTAAGCTGATAACGTAAAAGACGCGATGTGCGGTTGCCTCTTGGCTAAGTTCATACGCGCCAAGCACGTCCGAAATAAATCTGGTTGCTTGCATAAATCTCATTCCTAGGGGATGATCCACGGGAGCTGCTATACGATGCTACTGTCGTGATTTCAGAGCAGCGGAACGAACGGGTTAATCTCTGGCGAGACATCGCGGAAGGAAGAAAATTGCGAATCAAACGTGAGGGACGGTTGTTGCGTTGTTGAATTTATGATTAATAACTCTTGGATTAATCGTCTGTTGCGCATAAACAAATCTTTCTTTTTGTTTTTATTGACGATAAATCGCAATTAGGGCAAAATGACCAATCCGCCAGCTTTTTTCATTCGCTCCGACAGTTTTCCGTTAGCAAATGACGCGACGTGTGCACTATCGCCGTTGCATTTTTCCACGAGGCCTCATCAAACGTTCTTCTATCGTATAGCTCAAGTGAGAAAGAAGGAAAAGTGCGATCCGTGCTGCTAACTCTCCTCGTTCCAGCTTTTAGCGAAAATTCCCGCTGAGCTAGGGGGTTATTAATCACGCGTTTACTCCTCGTAAAAACGAACGCAGTGCTTCTTGTTTACACGCGCGCTTCGCGCGGCTTTCTGAAGTGAGAATCCTTTTTCTTTCTTTTATTGCGTTACTGCTGCTGAAATCGCGTCGTTACGAATGTGACGGATGAACGTTTAACCTACAGAAATAAATAAATGAAAAGAGATGGACAATTGTGTGTAGTACAAAATAAAATTGCAATATTGAACAAATGAAAGATAAATTTAATAAAGAAGTTCGACAATAAAGCTTTGTTTGATTTAATTATAATACTCATTAGTGTCAATCTGTTTCCGTAAATATATTAGTGATCAATTTGAACCCATTAGCGCTTATTAGCAGATGATGTATTTTCCCTTTTGTCTCGCAATTAAAAAAATCAAACTATCTTTGACGAAAAGTGCAAAAGTTTCAAACGAAAATAAATCTTATTGTGGATTTTTGTGTTACAGCTAGTGAACGGCATGAGTGGTCCACGTTATATCTGCGAGACCGAGGTGATGGAAGATGTTGGCCTTGGTCCATCAAGTAAAATGCAATACACGTCGCCGGGTAGTCACACTAGCAAAAATACCAACGGCAACATAATCACCTTAACGCTAAAAAATAACCATCTCATCGTGGAAACAGAGGAGCGCGCTGTGAGTACACAAGTCAATATTTACGCTTGTCTACTACGCCGTAAAGCCAGAAAAAAGGAAAAGTTTGTTTCAAGTTTTCAGATTAATCGAGATGAGCCTTGCGCGAAAGTTTGCATTTTTCAGTACAACTAACGCATAGGATCAGCCTTTGAGAACTTTGATGATAAAGAACATTCCTAATTTGTTTTTTATTCCTTCAACTCGTGACTTATAACGCCTTTTGAAAGTACAAAGAGAGGAGCCACTGGAACTTTAATAACTGCAAATTTATGCCGGAGCGTAAAGGTAGAATTTACGCTCGAGCAAAAGTTGGCTTGCTCTTGCTAATTAAGCGCGCGAGTCCGCGCGAGCCCGCGCGAATTAAGAAATTACGAATTCGCCGCCGTGGTGGTGCGGCTTTGGGATTAATGCTGCGGCGGCCGCAACCTACCAAAGCCCAAAGCTCGAGCAGTTGTCTTGGATATTCCACAATCCCGTGCGATTGATAAAAGCGATACAATCTTGTACGCGTTGTTAACTTTAGGAGAGAAACATCTCGTCGGAGCGTGGCCTTTGACCAGACTCAATTAAATTCAACTTCACGGATTATTCAGCTTCCAAAGACGGACGATATTATGTTTCTCAAGGAGGATCAATTGAAAAACGATTTGAATCGTTTTATTAAAAAAGTTACGAGAAAAAGTTATCAGACAACTTCGACAACCATCCAATCAGTTAATTTATAGAATCCTTCGAAAGATCGAGCAATCCCATTGACCCCCCCCCTTATAATTGAATCTAACAAATTAAAAACTTAATTTCATACAGTTAGTGTCGCATTGTATAAAAGAATCGAAACTTTCTATCTCTAATCCCCTGGAAAAGAAGTTCCTATAATCGCACTATTGTGAAATGGAATAAAAAGAAATTTTCGTTCGCATACGTAGCATAAGAAAAAAAAATGAGTCGGTTGGCGGAAGTAACTTTTTGTTGTTGCTGGCCTACTTTTCGTGCTCACGCGTGACAAGGAAAAAGCTCGTTTGGCCCGAGTGGGGAATCGCGAAACTCGCACGGTATGAGTCCGAACGATATTGAACAGGGAAAGGGCGTGGATCAGATGAGCGCGACTTTCGCCAGTGCGGGAAAGAGGATTTGCCGTGCCGCGCCTCCCGCATCCAGATTCACCGAAAGCTGTACGCACTGTAAACAAAATTTAAGGGACTTTGAATCTGTGCGAGTAGAATTTTCCTCGAAGCTGCCTCGGGAAAAGCGAAGTAATTTTGTTTGTACACGAGATTCGAAGTACATAGTGGCCCTCTTAAACGGAATTTCTCGATGAGATCCTTTTTTAAACATTTTTAAAATTTATGGCAAAGCTAAATGAAGTCTCTTGTAATTTCTCCGAGCACGAGTCACATGACAACATTTATTTTTTAATGGAACATTATATGACAGTTCAGTTAAACTCTCGTAAAAATATTGAAACACCTATATCCAACTCATGTTCGCAAGCGTAGCTTGTTTTAAATAGCATTATGCATAGACTAAGAGAAAACAATAATTAGAAACAATGAAAGCTCAAGGTCGAGACAAGTTTTAATGATAGTTGGGAGAAGTCGTTGAAGCGTTTCTATGCAAGGCTCTCCGGGGCAGCATATAACTTGAGATGAGCTGCGTCGTCATTTCAAACTATTCCCCCTTCCACTCTCTCTCTCTTTCTCTCGACCCAAATTGTTTTGCTTTTCCAGTTGAATGGATGGAACTCGCTTTTCAGCAACAAAATGCATTGTTGTAATCGTTTTGATTGACAAAATATGTCTCGCGCAAAGTATGTAAAGAAAGATAAACAGTGGCGAATCGTGCAAAGGAGAAGGATTAAATTATATTTGCTCGTTGTAACGAGATCCCACTTAAAGCGACGGAGACGAACGGGACCCTTTTACGCTGATCAATTATTTAACTACCGTCGCAGCAGAGTTTTACATATGCGTGCACGGGGATAAATATCATTAGCAGGCTAATAGCGTGTTGAAGAAACAATGGCGACGCGTATTGCGATTACAAAAATAAGAACAGGAAAAAAAAAGTAACGTTAGGTTTTTTAATCGAAAATAAGCGTGCTCTCGTGCGTGCAAGTGTATACGCGAATATCGTGGGCGTAGGTAATCGAAAAACGTTCGCCTTCACTGCCAACCATTCGTTTCATTTTGCGAACTATAGATGTGACGTAGAAGAGACAGCCACACGCACACTAGCTAGACAGAAACCCGCGGCTAGCTAGTTCCTTCCGTCCGTCAAGCTTCTGTTACAGGCGAGGTCAAAGTGGACCCTCCAGGCGTCTTTTGCCAAAGCTACCTTATACCCCTGACGTTGCCAGAGTTTACACGCTCAAGGTTGTTTACGTGACGAGCCTTGTTATTTGCTTACAGTTACCTTTTCCTTCCTTCCCTCACGTTCGAATGTCCAAAGTTGCGCGAATTAATTAAATAGCCTATGCTCTATGTTTTATCTCCTTCTATTCTCGCACGCTCTTTTTCCTTTTTATTATTCTTATACGACCCGCGCGCGCCTGAAGCTCTGTGTTGATAGAGACGACGATTTTATTACGCGATCGCTTTTACGATATTATAATTTTATGCATTGAACATGATTATACGCAAAGAAAGATTGCGAGATATAAAAACGTGACACCGATAATCTTTGAGGCATAAAGGTGCACTCAAAAAGAAAAGGCTAGCGAAAGAATTGTTTAATTTTAAGTGTGTTTGAGTTCCCACTCGAACAAACATTTTCGAAACAGGAAAAACAAATAGAAAGTTTTCTTCGATGCTTGAGCGAGAGAGAAAAAAGAAAACCAATTTTGGAATACTTTTGGCATCTCAAGGTACAAGAGGGATGGCCCAGCACTTGTCGGTGGCAAACCCATTGAAAACTAACGAGCGCGGCAAGTACACTTAATACAAGACGCTGCGCACTTTGAACAAACTTTCACGAAAACCCTCGAAAATGTTCAAAAGCTCCGCCACGTACCACAAGGACAACCCCATTCTAATATATCATAGAGACAACTCGGACAATTCTATATACTCGCGCGTGTATCCAGCTGTAGCTTTCCAATGATTCCAAGTTTTATCGTGATAGTATTGACTAGCCCTGTTCGAAAAAATTCACGGCCCGCGTTGTGTTGTGCGTCGGGAGCGAGAAAGCATTTTTTTATTTTTATAGCATCTGCTGCCATAGGGAGTAATTCATTCTTTCTGCCGCGACTGCTTGTGTGTTCCATTTCAAGAGATGGAAAAATATGGCGAGAGAAAAGTCAGTAAAAAGCGGAACGCCGAAGAAGACAGGAATTTTCGCTACCGGCAAATCAAATGTGACAAAATATCGGCTTTCTTACCGTGCGGAAAAAAATCCTCGTCATCTCATTCTCTCACCCCCCAACGAATTTCCCTCCCAAGGTAACGCTATTATGAGGTCTTGTCGTTCTCATTTTTTATTAACGATTTGATTATCTTCCCATCGTTGGCTTGGCAAGGGACTCAGTTATTATTTGACTTGCAATTTTTTTCTCGTAGATCGACTCAATTATTTTTTAATGAGCATAGCTTGTCACTAACCGTCTTCTTAATATTATCGCTTTAACGGACAGGTCGTGATATTGATTTCGGAGTGAATCGTAGTGAATCTACAATTGACTCGCACAGTTTGCTTTATGCAAACCTCTACGTTAAATAAATGATTCGCATAACAAATAGCGTAACGTTACAAGAAATATCAGAATCGCATTGGGTGTCTTTGTAGAGGAAGAATTATCTCTTGGCTTAATTTGAGTCGAGCTAAATCTGCGGAAAGCTTGTCCTAATTACACTATCGATACGCTAATTCATATCGAGCGGCGTGATAACAAGCAAACACCTATCGAGAAAAACGTTCCGGTGATCGATCACACGAACGCGGCCTCGGCGCTTTAACCCGTCCAAAGGAAAATTATTGAATGATTGATTAAAAAACAAGGACGAAAGCAATGAAAGCTCGATTTTAATTTTCAAGTGACATTACCAATTGAAGGTGAAGCACAGAGACTTTCTTTTGACGGGGCTGATTTTCCCTTTTGCGTTTGCGGCCCCGAAAGCGCGCCCGTGTAATTGAAAGGCACGATCGATGTCCCGGTTGCGAAGTCGAGCACGAGAAAACGCGCAGGGGAGGCCGGAGATAGGCTAACGTCGGGTTCAGGCCTATCTTACACCGACCTCAATGGTTTAATTCGAGATCACCCTCTTTTTCTTACGGAGATCCCGGCCACGACGGCTTAATTAATGCTCTTCGTGAGCCTGAAAATAAATAAATGCTTCAGCTGACGCCATAATAAACGCGATTTATTGCATTACGCAATTATTGTTAATAAGTAACTTTATCTGTTTTCAAGATGTATTTATAAGCTAGAATGCTATAACACAGTGGCGTACAACGTCGGTTCGAGTATAACGTATAATTCGATTTTTTCCATCATATTCCTTATTTTTATTAGATAAAAAATATTGATTGAAGCCTATCAATCTGTCACAGCTTTTCATCTTGTATAACAAAAAAGTATTGACAAAAGTACTGGAAAATACGTGGGTTAAGGGCAAAAATAAAATGTGTAGGCGAGTGCAGTGTTTCTCACTCGAGTGTACTGCACATCAGCTTCATATTTAAGCGATATTTATTCTTTATAACAGAGAACATTTTTTGCGATATCTCTCTTTATTTTGTGAACGACGGGGAAAACATAATAGGCACTATGTCGTTGCAGGTCACAGTGGAAGATGCGGGTTATCAGGATAACGGTTGCTCGGTGATAGTCGAAGTACCACCAGGTTACCGTAACGACGACGTGGAACCACAAAACCAAGGCTCGTCTTCGGATGACTTGAGTGGTGCTGGACGAGGAGGAGTGATTAGTAACGAGGAGCAGCAGGCATTGGTTCATCGCGAAGAAATCCCCGAAGACCGTTTCGGTGAGTGTCTGTCGCTTGGCGTAGCTTAACGCTCAACTGAGCTTAATGAGTCCCATAAAGGCAAACTTTTACGTACCCAAGAAAGCCGATTATCAGCTTCTTTATCTCCAGTTAATATTGTCATTTCGTGGGCGTTTTATCTTATAATTTTAATCCGTAGGATATGAGCTTTGTTCTCGACGTAGTGGCTACGATAGTTTCTTAATGGATTTTTTCATCGAGTTCTTCTTTGCCTTGATTATACATATTTTTCCATATTAGTTCTTTTCTTACTCTCTAATTAATAGAATACAGAACTTCTGGGAACAATGAACGTTGATTTTTCGCCGTACAGTAAACGAACTTCCAAATTTGCTGCCGATCGAATCCAAAGAAAACTCATCAGATCGAAAGTATTTGAGCCAGGAGCTCGACAGTAAATAAGAGCAACATAAGCACTCGTGAACGGATATAAAGTGTCTCAAAGGCAGCGATTGCCCGTTTGCCAATAGCATTTCCACGGTCGCTCTGGGCACAAACGCCTTCTCGATCGGTCGTCGAATTGGCTTCTCGTGTACTACTCTCTTTCAGTCACACCGCTGAAAATGCCGAGCGAGAGGTATTCCTCCCTTGCCGCGACGACGAGTCTATGTAGAACGCGCAAAAGGCTGCTCGGCTGACCCAGTTACTCGCAGCGCAAACTGCGGGGCGCGGCTCTCCACTACAGTATCCCATATGTGTATTTATAGCCGTTTCTGTGTCATTTGCAGGAGCTTTCGACAATGCCCGACTCTTCGGCAGTATAAACACCGGCCTGTCGCAGTCAGACTTGTCGATCAGCAGTCGCGATTCGGTGAATCCAAGCTACCGATACGGCAATCAATTGGAATACGAAGCTGGACACTTTGGTTACCCGATGTATGTAGACTCGATGCTACTGAAAGTGGAGCCTACTACGAGTCGCTACTCTTCCTCTTCGAACAAATGGGTCGAGTTCGACAAGTCGCCCGATACCGAGAAGACTCTACTCAAGGAGGACGACTCCAAGATGCCCAGACCCGAGAACGACGACGTAAGATGATATGCTTGATCTTTTCTCGTAGACGTCCTTTAGTAAAGAGCGAGCGAGAGAGAACTTGGGCTTTTGAAGGGGGCATTGGAAAAGGTTGCTGGTTATTATTTAATCGTTAAGATGGATGGAAGTCGGATGGATTCGTCTGCGAGTGAAATACTCTTGTAATGTTTAGAGAGTTCTTTGAAAATCTTCAACGTTTGGTTGGCCAGCTTTAATGAATTCAAAGACGACTTATACTCGTGTTTTAGAAGTTAGTTTTTAAATAATAAATGAACCGTCGATCTATCTATCTCTTTCTCTCTCTCTCTCTCTCTCTTCATCTCTTTCGAACTTTAATTAATTCTAAATGTTGATATTTCATCGTGCTATGCTATTATCAACAAACTTTTAGAAAAGCGAAAGGGGTATCTCAATTCTCTGCAATTATTTCAATAATTGAATTCAATCTGTCAAATCACAAATTAGAGAGATATTAAGCGCCCGCGCTTTGGAGCAAACGTTACGTGCTCTCTCTCTCTCTCTCTCTCTCTGCCAATGAAATTTAGTTCGCTACCCCCGTCCTCCGCTCTAACAAAGTCAACTTGGCCAAAGTCAATTCTCTCTCTTTTGAAGAGAGCTGAATCTCAATTTCTCTCTGCTCGCAGATCTCGGAGATGTGCAACAACAGAGCGGACTCGGGTGGCTCGTCGCTGGAACAGCAGGACTCGACAGACTTAAGTAATTCCACAGACACGACGACGACGGTACGTTTAAATCCGAATCTTGAGATTAACGGCGACGAAGTGGCGTCGCTACTTGACAACAAACCCGTCATCACCGGCGCCCTTCTCAAAGATGAGGCTGCTTTGCAAGAGGACACCTTCCAGGAGCAACAGCGCAAACTCGGCAACGGCACGCTCACGCCCGAGCACTATGCCGACAATAGGGTAGGCATCGGCTCTGATAGTACGAGTCAGCGCTACACGCATGCTACACGCAATCTAGTGATTTACGTTTAAAAGTCAATCCACCTCGTCCACGTCTGTCTTCGTCGTTGTTAGCTTTATGCATGGCTGCCGAATGTAATGCAAATAATTCATAAAACTATGCATGGCTCAAGCTGCTTGTCACCTTGCTTGGTACGTACACCCCCGAGGAACTCAGTTGCTAATGTGGAACTTTGTCCGTGGCGACTTGTTTAGCCGGAAACGAACAACAAAGAACAACAACAGCATAACAACGGGACAAGGCAGCCGGAGGCAAGTAGTTTCGTGCCAACGCACAAGCGCACAGGTAGCATACCACCGCGACTGATCGAGGAGACAACGGCACTGGAATTCGAGCGCAAGAAGCCACCGGCACTCGACATCTACAGTCAAATCAAAACGAGCATACTACCCGGTCTCAGCCCCAAGTTCGAACTTCTGCGAAACGAAATCAGTCCCGTCGACGAGAAGGAGAGTTAATCCGTCCTATTCCTTCCCTAGTCGCTTTTGTTTTCTTTTGCTGTCGACAAAGATCCAGCGAATAGACTACCTCCCTTTACATCCCAACCCTCTTTCTCTTAATTTAGGTCGTACCAGAACCCAAATGAAGGCCGGGAGGATTACAGATGATGTCAATTTTTATGCGAGACCCTTTGACACCAATTTTAGAGATATTCAAAGTTGAAATTCCCGAGAGGATCGAGAATAATTACGACGCGCTTTAATTAGTGTCGAAGGGTGAATGGAATAACTTAAACCTCCTCTCCCCACTCCCCACCAAGTGAATTTTATAAATTCTACTAAAGAAGGCACAAATTCAGTTTGAAAAGTTGATTTGACTGAGATATCTTCGAGAAACCTTGTAAATTTCCAAGAAAATCCAGCAAAATTGCAAACAAGATGTCGCGGCACGTCAATTGGTCGAGTCGAGGAAGAGCAAAGCAGCTGCGGTCGAAGCCGACAATGTACTCTAATGATACTCGTTGTCGTCGTTGCTCCTTGGTTCACTCCATCCCTCCTTCCCATTCCCTTTGACACTCAGCCCTTCCCTGTGTACCTATTATAATCATTTCCTTCCGCCTGTCGGTTAGCATTTGAGCATGCCCAATCTAATGCTAACGAGCTACATTGGTGTTAAAATTAAACAACAAAATACCCTCTTCGAGTCTAAAGAATTTATAAAGGAATAATCTTGGGATCTCCGTTGTAATTTTTTCCACCTGCCCTCTCCTTTTTCTCCGAGCTAACTTTTGGAGAATAAGAAAAATTCTATTGCCGAGGCCGCGCGGAGAACAATCGTCGACTAATGAACTCGAGCCCCGCGCTTAAAGGTATGTTCGTCCGACTGAGTCTCTTTTCCTCTCTCACTCTCTGACAGTGTAGATTCAAGGAAAAAGAGATTCGCGCGCTCAGAAGAAAAAAAACCCTAACATAAGTCGTATTATTGCGAATTGCGGTTCTTTTATGCGCGATGTTCTCTCCCGCGCGCTGGTGTTAAATTGAGCTCGTCAATTATTTTAATTCCTTAATTAAAACGTCTATTCACTGTAGTTTGTAATACTTTATTTGACATGACGACTTTTTCTCTTTATTTCAAAGGATTACAATCAGTGCATAGATACCGTAGTAAAATAAATAGTATGTTTATTACAGTGCAATTGAAAATTGATTAAAGTGTTGATCAACATAGAGCTTGAGGAGGGGGTAAACATATACCCTCGGAAGCTCTATTATCGATTCAATTATCAAAGTTCGATAATACCAGACCGGATATTGATAACCAATGGCAAGACTTAGAAATGCAAAGCCCGAGCTGCTACATAGAGCTGAACGAGAAATTCAATATATCCACTCGAGTCTCTCGTACGGTTTATGAAGTATTAGTTCGTACTACAGGAGGCTGTGGGCATTGGACAACGATCTCAGACACACACACACACACACACACACACACACACACACACACACATACACACACATACTTAGAACACACACGCGCGCGCGCACACACCACAGTCATAATACACTCGGCTTTGAAAGTTATAATGGAAACAGTCGAGGAAATGGACGCTGGCCGAGCGGAAAGTAGACGAATTCCGATGAGTACGCACGTGCATATACAAACTCAAATTGGAAATCCGACCAACTTGCACGTAGAGAGAGTAGATATGCGCCTCTAATTACCATTTGGCCCAGGCGATATATAATTGCTTTCGCAGTCGGCAGCATTCGTAATTATTGCGAGTGCGTTTATATGAAAATTCAATGATAATAGAACTTGCCGCTTTATGTTCTGATTGCTCGATGCGACGATACAATTGAATAATAAAATGTGCACATTGAAATTTAAGAGGTTTCTGGAAATTCCTCGAAAAACAGTTTTCTTGGGTGATTTATTGATCGATGACGTTACGCAAAGTTACAGAATTGTTACTTAAAAACAAACTGACGAGCTATGAATTGTAAAACTTGTGTAAATACATGCAAATATCTGCTTGTGTGCGACGTTCATCTCCGACTACTTTTTTATCAGCGTTTTGATTTTTATGGTAAATAATAAAAAATAGCGAGCGTTCTTGTTCTCGATAATGGATTTGTGTAAAGAACTATAACGCTGAGAAATCAAAATAAAACAATTAAGTAAACGCGTATAAGGCTGTTTATACATTCGCCAGCTTTAGAGTTCTTTTCTTTTTAGTGAGCCTGTAGTGATATCGTGTAGTGTGGGAAAATAAAAAGGACAAAAAAACTTTTGTAATAACTCGTAGTTTCGATGTTGGTTGCAACAATTAGGTGCACCAATGTTGATTTTTTTCTTAAAAGAGATAACTCCAGGTGGTGCCAATCGTTTCACCAGTATTATTAATCAGTATTACCAAAAGACAATTTAATGGTCTTTTATCATACCGTATTGTGTGGATATTTGGTGAACGTACGAGTTTTAATTACGTTTTTTCGATATAAACCTCAAGAAAGACTCGATGTCATTTTTAATCTTAAGGCTATTGAAATTATTTCTATTTTGTAATACCTAAAATCCGAGTGAATCACACACAGTTTGTACGAATCAAAAGCCGATTACACAATGTAAAGCAATGCAGAACGCCGATAACAAAAAATGTTATCACGACGCGAAATAAAAAAAAATTACATTCTGATCGAAATTTTTTTCTGTTTATGTATATCTAGTGGAATGCAATTTTCTACTTTCGAGTTGTTGTGTAAGAAGCTTCATTATCGTTAATATATATAAAATTCGTTATAGGAACAGATATTGATATTTGCATATAGGACTCTTACAAGTTTAAACGGAAGTTCCTTGCGTTGAATGACGATGGCTTATTGAAAAAATTTGAATTGGCGACGATAGTTTCGCGAGTCGTAATTTTTGTGTATACACGATATAAAACAACTAGAAAAGAAATTAAAAAGAAGCACATTATGCGTTAAACGATTATTCAGATTTTATATGCTTACGTTGGATGTTAATACATACTATCGTTATCATCGTTGTTGTTATTCCGATGTTACGTGAAGATTGGCGTAATAATACTCTGCAAGTATATACTTATACTTTTTACCCTCGATCATCGATGTGATTTAATGATAATTAAAATGCGAATAAAAAATAACGAAGTCATATTCTGTGAATTAATGGATCATCTTAATGCTATCTATGATACCTTTAGTTTCGTTCTTCCATGAAGATACAGTGCTACGGAAAACTTTACCGACTTTTCTCGTTGTAGTTTTGTACATAAACGACGTTCAATTTATTCAATAAAACTTTTATATAAACAACACAGATAAGGCAACGAATGTCCAACAAAAAAAGTAATAAATAACTGTGTGTCGTGTACCTTATTATGTTGGGTAATCAGAAACTCTTTTTTTTCCTTTTAACGTATCTATCATTTCGAATAATTGTTTTGAAAGATAAAGTACGTAGATCGTAAGTGACACCAGTGCTAGTGATTTAAGTGTGATTGCGCTCTATTTAGATTTTATAACGCAAAAATTCTTAAATACTTCATGTACTCCATAAACGAAAAAACTTATCTTAAACTGGTTGTCTCTATCTTCTTAGAATGTGCAATTTAGCGAGTGAAAAGAACAAAACGAATCTTAGCCAGTAAGTTGTTTCAAACCGATCGATGGATTTATCAAAATTCCGTTGTGCATTGATGATCTCTTGGTAGCCAATCGCTTGTCGAGTTCCTGTAAAACTTCGAAAGTTCCATGTTGTCTATAAATGGGGATAAAATGCATCTGAAAAAAAAGAAAGCACATGCGCGACGATACTTATTACTTGATTAGAATTGAAAAAATATCGTTTGTTAGAACAAAGATAAATTATTCCAAATAGTCCAAGATCGGAAGCGCGGTCATGTATCCTAATTAATTGTTCTTTCTCTATTGCACTCTATCTTACCTTTGTCTCTATTGGGAAAAATTTACCGAGAGCCGGGAGCTTTCACATGACGTATAAAAAAACTACTATAACCTTTCACTCAATATCAAGAAGAAAAAGTCATCAATCATGTGGAAAGTATAGTATGTAATCAATAATAAATTACATCAGGAATCGTACTAGCGAAGTCAAACTCGAGAAGATGAACGTAAAAAATAAAACAAAAAAATACTTTGTGAATGTATAGTATATACTTCGTATATTATAAAAAATATTTTACATTTATTTGAATTTCGTTTGTTTATAAGACGATACAATACTTATTAGCCCTATATGTAATCATTTTTGAAAATAAAATTGAAAATGTTAAAGTATACGTTAGGAACTTATTTGCTTTTGCCTTCTATAAATTCTATTTGTAACGTTATCAACAAAAGTGGAAATAGTTTTATAAAAATATTTTTGAATCGATTTCAATCGAAGCTTTTAAATATCAACTGAGTTCAAGTGAGTAATATAAATGGTTCTAATAAAATCACTACGATAAGAAATCTGTGGATAATAAAACTCCACTTCTCCAGCAATGAAGCCCTAATCAATCCTTATCATCCAGTGATAAATACAGAGCACCCCTGCGGTCAGCCGCGTCCCGCGGTAGCTGGTTACAGTAGGCAACGTACTTACCCTTACGAGATACCCCAAACAGTAGCTACCTCTATCGTGGGGTAGCAGCAACAACTGGCGTCGCAAAAAACTGTTGCGCAAGCTCGCCCAAAGATCGCGCTTGTTGCCCGTGCCGCTTTAAAAGCTCGACAGACAAGTAGCCGCTGAATTATGCATGCGTGTTTTTAATTCGGTAATCAATAGTAAAAACGAGCGGTGTGTCGCGCGACGGGGGGCCGCGACGCTCATTGGCGGTCCATTTTACCGAAGGGAGGGGCTACGTGATTTTTTGCCGTTGCCTCATCATCCCTCTTTCTGCCTCTGTCTCTCTTACTCCCTCTTCCTCTCTCCCTCTCTCTCTCTCTCTCTCTCTCTCTCTCTCTCGCTCGCTCTCTGTCACTATGGTATACACTTGTTCATTCGCGCGCGCTTTGCGAGCTTTCATAATTTATCTGTATAATAGAATGCATTTATGGATGATTCAACGCGCGCTAATTTATTATGCTCATTATTGTTCTCGAATAAATTGCAATGTAAAATGGCGCTCGCGCAGCTTGCTTTTTATATCTCGCGGTTCCTCTCGCACGCGCATTACAATGATCGGTTATTCCAGTTAATAAATGTACATTGACAATTGTAAATTATGTAGAAGTTTATATAGTCAGACGTGACGTATCTGATTCCATTTAGACGAGTCTATGTATTATGTATTTGTCTTGCCAGATTTAAAAAAAATTGACATTATTATATTATTGAAGGCAGAGAGTTCACAATTGAAAACCAAGTCAATTTGTGTATTAAGTTGGTAAGTATTGAACAACGATAAAAAATTTTGTCTGAATACTAACTTGCAATTTGACACGAGTGACAGACAGCTTTATAATCTATCATTAACACTGTTTGGCTGTGCCGCACGATTCGCGCGCTCCATCTGTTGCTATTAATTTTATAATGGTTCACAGACTTTTAATGTTAATTAGACTCGATTTATGGCGCCGGCTTCTCAAAAGATGAATTTCTATAGGATAAAAGCTGCCGTGAGACCGACGATGTAATATATACTAAATACAGCGTATCTCGGCATATTCTTGACTTGATAATTTTACTTGACCTGAATATAATATTAGATGTATTATATATTGATGAGCAACAAATCTTTTTATGTCTCTAAGATTGAAACTTCAATGACTTTTTGCTTGGTATAATACTATTGTGCCGAAAATAGGTATAGGTTGCGCAAGTGGCGATCGTATGATGATTGAAATCTGAAGAAAATCAAGGGGCTGACGCAACGAGCGCAACAACCGGTTCTGCTTATCAAATTCGCTCGGTTTCGCAATCGATTGCTCGAGCCGAAAACTGCAGGCGAGCGTAAGTTGCCGAGTTGAAAGCCGAGACAAAGAATCGAAGCATGATTGCACATCGACACGATCATGCACAGGGTCTCGAAGCTTGTGCGTCGACAGAGGTGTAGAACCCTTCGATAACGTTTGCTCATCTCTAATTAAGAGTCTTGGGCAATGCGCGCACGTCGTTGAAAATAAATCCTGCCTCGCTGACTCTCTCCGCCGTCTCATCGCGCTCTTGTTTGATTTGTATCTTCTGCTCGAGCCTCTCCCTTTCTTGTCACACGTACGTACGACTGTTGGCGGTCGGGCGACGCGTGTCATTTGTAGCATCGCGGTATGGCTCCAATTATTTTTAATAATGAAATTGAAGTATCAAACCCAGCGATTAGCGGGAATTTAATTGTGCTGCTGCTGCTACTGCTTGCCGGGCGTGGGCGCTGCTGCCACCGCCGCCACCGCCGCCGCCACCGCGTTCTCTTTCGTGCAGATACAGCATTATGAAAACACGAATGTACTTTTAAATCAATACCATCGCCAGTACTGTGGGACTGCGGCGGCGGCGGGAAGGGAGAGCTGCTGCTCGTTGTATAGATATATATGCGTACATAGTTTGAGGGAGAGAGAGAGAGAGAAAAACTCACCGCGCCGCCACCACCGCCGAATCCTGGGCCAAGTGCTACTACTGAAAAGTTACAGCGAGACGGCAAGAAAGTTAAAACTCGATAGAGAGCGAGCGAGAGAGGAGAACACGGGAGGGGAAGTATGCACGCTCTCTCTCTTTCTGTCTCATTCTGTACGCACCGGAATAGCCAGATACACTGCGATAGAGGGCTATTATATTGGCTAAGATTCGCTAACATTTGCCCATACGGCAAATGCTTCAAGCTCTTTTTATCGTCCATCCCTGGGACAAAAGAAAGCTTTCCATTGTCGAAACCTTATGTCGCATAAAAAGGCAAAAGCTTATCTCTACTCAATACTTCAAATATACCTACAAGATTGGTGAAATTATTGAAAGTATTTATAATCAGCTAATTCGGTTTCTTCATCTATATTCTGCATCTCTGATTTTATATTTTGATAAACTTTTGAATTTCATTTATAGACTTCATTATTTATATGCATTACTGCTCTGCAAGATAATCGTATTCTGGAATCTTTCTAATAATCAGATATCAATCGCGATTATTAGATATTTTTGTCCTTTGAGCCAGAGAATATATACCATTTGAATAAGTTTAATCAATTTGAAATGAAATTCAAGCTCATTTTTATCATAAACTACTATCGCGCGAGGCATTCGCAGCCGCATAATCAATATTAGATGAAAATAACTTTCCATGAGTAGGAAGCTCAACCGATGATAGAAATAGAGGCATTAGAGTCGACTAATAATAGCGCATAATGGCTATTACGGAGTTAAAACAACAGATTCAATCTCGTTTTGCTGAAAAGCAAATATCATAACCAGATCGTTCAAGCTCATTCAAACAGTGTTACTCGATGACATTTTTTTCTGGAATTCGCGCCCGATCTATTTTAATTGTTATATCCTCATTTTCGTACGATGTCTTTTATTACGAAGGATGCTACTACTTAGTCATTAAATTTACTGTTTAAAATTTAAGTCAGGTTATCTTTATTTAGATATTGCACTTTTGGACTGATAACTATAAAAATAAAGTTCGCAATGCATTCTAAAATTACTGTAGTCGGGCAAATTTATGATCAAGCGCTTCGTACATTTTGATTCGATTACGCAAAATAGTCGAACCGAATTGACGATATAAAGTAACTCTCGCCAGTATTCATCGATACGCGGGGATGTCTACTTTTAACAGCCCATCGAAAATCCATCGCGCAAAAGCACATATAGGAAAGGACTCGCAGCTCGCAGGGAATGAAAATTGCATCGGTACATAATAAAATCATAGCCACTTGAAATTAGCTACTAGGGCGCGCATCTAAATCGGGGTCGCGGCCCGGATATAATCTTTCGTCTACGATGCCGCGAATCGATATGGACGCGCTCGGCGCAGTTGCAATATAATTCACGAATTGAATATATAGGACGCTCTAATTTTCGCACTCTCTCCGCGTGTACTCGAGAGAAAGGTGACATTCAAGAGCGCAAACCGTCGATGACCTCTTGTGCTGATTAGTCGATATGCCTTTAATTTGATTATCCTTGAACGTAGCTTGCAGGAGAACATTGAAATATTAATACAATAATGCTCTTTTCCACCGATTCAATGAATATTTTATTGGTCATTCAAGTTTTTGCTCCGCATTTTTTTACCGTGAAAGATGCAGAGTTTTATTGCGCGCGCGGTATCATCCTTCGAAAGTATAAAGTAAAGAATACGAATTTAATTGAAGTTTGTCAAGATCGTAGGTACGGTTAGCTCGACTACACCCTGGGCGACCCTAAAAACTTTCCGTCGCAGTATCAAAGTTCAAAATTTACAATAGGCAAAGTTTGATTATGATTTTTGAGGGACGCCGTCGTGGTTATTCTTTATGTAAACCATTTTTCGTCGGTAATTGAAGAGTGTAATTCTTTTTTATCACGTAAGAAGATTAAATGAAAAAACAACAGAGGATGATTTAGGAAAAAATCACAGTGCTCGTGGTCGAGTGTGCGTCTGGTCGGATAATGAATAAAGTAAGTATGGGTGCTGCAAAGAAAGCTCTTTACCTCTTCACTGGCTGTGCTGTTGTTGCGGCATTGTGCAATACCCTTTCCCCGTGGCATTTCGATCACAAACTCTCTTTCCCCTTTCAGCTCTCGCCCGGTCGCGCGATGCTCTTCCCTCTTAAGGCAACGACGACTCCTCAACTTGACTTCATATGTCGGCGGATTTTTTCGATACTTGAACATTATTTCCCACTTTTCTACTACCAACCCCTTTCCCTTTTTGTCTCTGCTATTATACGCAAACGATAACGCTTTTGAATATATATCCTTTCGCACACTTTTATTTTTTTAAAACAAGTCTATCAAATTTAATCGTTGCAATACGTGGACAATAGAGAGCGAGAGAGAGAGAGAGAGAGAGAGAAAGAGAGAGAGAGAGAGAAAGAGAGAAGCCTGTTGGTGAAAACAAACCGACAGAGAGAAGGTTATTTTTTTGATTTTATTATTCCATCCGTATCGCGTATCAATCGAGAGTATATACGATATTGGCTAACTCTCACTTCAAATAACAGTGTGCGTGTGAGAGAGCACATCGTCAAAAAAAATATTTTCAACCAGATATTCCCGCTATTTTTCTCGCCCTCCTCCATACCAACGCCGCGCACTATCACAAGCTCGCGTGTGCACAGGTAGAGACGTGTGTGCGAGAGAGAGA